AGAGAGGGTTTCAAAACCTTGTTGATTTAGTTATTAGACCTACTTTGTAATGAAAGACAGATAATTTTCATCTGGATCAGATGATCCAAAAAGTAATGTGAGGTTGATCTCTAGTGAATTAGCAATCAAGTTGAGTACTCGACCCCGTTGCGGCTCCCAGTTCCATGAACTAATGGGCTTCTTCCTACGAACACTTGCTGTAACCTAAGCCAATGACCAAAGAAAATCATCAAATGCAACACTGATAATACTATAACTATGGCAATAGATGAGAGCAGTAGGATTATACCTTTGCATTGTTACTAGAAGCACTGTTGGACTCCTCAGCCAAGACGATATTGAAAAGAAAGAATGTGTAAATTTTAAAAGCATTGCGAAAGGATGAGATTCGATCAAGCATAGGTGTTTCATCATCCTGACGTGACAGTGAATCAATATTTGGAAGAAGAACACTAAGATTGGACCGAAGACTTTCCACAACTATGACTTTGCAAGATGGAATGAGACTACAGAAACCACGGACCAAAGAATAAACACGATCAAACATGTCTTGCTCTTCAATACAGAAAACTTCTTTATCAGAGAGATCAAAAGATGCACCTGCATGGGGCAAAAATAATTAACTTAATTAAAATCTTGAGGTCGTGCATGAATAAAAAATCATAGGGAGCTTGCTCTATTAAATGCCAAGGGTATTAAATATTAATACTCATTAATTTTTCTAAGACTGGAGGAAAAGCGAACTTAATCATGTCAAGCTAGCAACCTACTAAACTGAATTTTATTTTCACCTTCTTTTTAATTTTCTCGGGTCAAGAAAAAACCGTGAACATGTTGTGTTCCTTGAGATTCAACGTAAGCACGAGCAACTAATTTTCTCAGGTAAACAAAGTGAGAAGGAAAAAAGGAAAAAAATAAAGCATTTGGGGTGTTTCTGTTAGAATCAAATTCCCATTATATTCCTATGTTCTGCCAACAACGAAATTTAAAAAAAAAAAAAAAAAAGCTTTAATGGGAAAATTTGCTCTTTATTGAGGGCATATAATTGGGAAAATTATTATCAACTAAAATTGTTAGATGTTTCCCGTTTAAATCCTAGGAAACAATAAGTGCTTCTCTTCCCCACCACTTTCTCTAACAATCTTTAACCCATATGGCAAAAAAATCATAAGCATTCCCGATGCCAATTTCGCTGCTGAGGAAACGAGGGAAAATAAAACCCAGAACCACGAAATTCACACAGCTTCAAGATATAAAGTAACCCAACCAAAATAAGAGAAAAGGGAAGAATTTAGAGTTGCCCATTTCCTCAGCAAACAAACGGAAAGCTAAGAAGTTGATACATGGAAGGAATTAGCGAAAGAACTGACCTTTGACGAATTCTTCAAGTTCGGAGGAAGAAAGCGAAGCGACGTCGATGGGTTTCTGAGCGTAGAGAAGGTTGTCTTCCCGTTCTTCTTCGATGGCTCGCAAATTTTGGGGGAAAAGGAAGTGGGACGCCATTTGTGCAGATTTTGGGTTTCTTGCTTCCCGCTCGTCGTCAGTCTTAAACGCTGTGACTGTGAGAGCGTACAAATTTCAAATGGGAACTGAAATTGGACAGAGCGGGAATATTTTTACTTTCGGCCAGTTTGGTTTGTAGAGCAAAAAAATACAAGAGGAGAGGGACGGTGGTCCTAGTTTAGTTTTTTTGCAGTTCGGACTGCAATTACTCATTAAATGGAAGATCATCCCCAAAACTAGTGTTTGTAGTTTGGATGGTCTATATTACAAAAAGTGAAAAAAAAAATTATCGCGTTTTATCATTAAAATGTCAAAACGTTAAATAATAATTATATAATTAATTTAATAAAATTAGAATTTACATTATACTGTATATATTTAATAGTTATGATTAAACATAAAAATATTAAAATATCTTGAATTTTTCTTTCCCCTTACAAAATACTATTTTTTTGTTGAACTTTACAAAATACTATTTTATTTATGAAATAAAAATAAAATATAATATATAATTTTAATAAAAATATATTTTTTAGTTTGAGTTACATAATAAAAACATAGTTTGGATTTTAAATTTATCAAATTACTCTTAATAAAACTTTTTGTCACATTTATTCATTAAAGGTTCGTTGATAATTTTGATACCCAACCATAATTTTTGAATTGAAAAACATGGTTCTCTAATTTTAATTTTATCATCTGACCCTTCTTTCATGTTTTATATAAAAAAACTAATATTTATTACCTTCTAATATTTGATTACAAAATTTAAAAAATAAAATTCAAGGATAAATAGTTATTTAAATCAAATTAATTTCTTTTTTAAATATACAATTATCTTATTTATTTTTGTCTCTTTTGATAAATTCATTTTAATTTATAAATCCAAGTGTGAGAAGGAAATGGAAGAACAAAATGGAAAAAGATGAATCCAAGGAACGAGGGGGTTCCAATGAGATGAGAGACCAGGGGTTTAGTGATCATGAGGCTATTGTATTTATAGTCTATCATTTAGGTAAAATATCATTATAATAAAAGAGATAAAGAATATTATTATAAAATAAAAGAAAGTAGCAAGATAACAAAACAAAAGTAAGAATTTCTTATTTTACCTTATACTCTTCCATACACCCATTATACAAATTTGTAAGCTTATATATAGACTAAGCAACATAAGGGGTTACATTAACCATTGAATAGGACTAAATGAGAATGAATGACACCTTAGTGGAGCCATGAATGGCACCTCTTAATAGACCTTTGGATGGCTTTTAGTGGAATCATGAATGACCCTTTAATGGTGAGGAGTTATAACATGGATGAAGGTGATTGTGAAAGTGAAGCATCCACCAATAAGAAAATTCACAATACTCCCCCTTAAATACTCACCCTTTTTTTTTATATGCTTTTAAAATGTCTCATTCCCAATGAAATAAAAACCATAGTGAAAGGAAAAAGAGTATAGTATGTATAATACACCCCCTCACTTCAATGAAGCTCTTTAAGCCGTCACATGCCTATCTTGTATACAAGTTGTTCAAAAACTTTGGTGGGTAATAACTATGAAAAGATATGCAAGATTCTCATTTGAATTGATTTGTTGAACATTTATTTCACTAGCATTTTCAACTTCATGAGTTGAGAAAAACTTTGGAGAAATGTGTTTTATTCTATCTCTTTTGATGAATCATGCATGTAGTATTGTCTCATATAATAATAAGGTCAAATTTTCTATAATTACTTTCAGACCACATGTTTCTTGAACATACTAGATCCAAGATTTTAATAAACATTCTCGATTTACCTTATATAGGGCAACCAATTTTGAGTGATTTAAGGATATGGCTACAACAATCTATTTGGTTGAACGTCAAGAAATTGTAATACCACCATATGTGAACAAATGCCCAGTTTATGATCTCCCTTTATGTGAATCAAACAAATATCTAGCATATGCATATCTAATTAACTCTAGTTTTGAATAAAATAATCCCATGTCTTTTGTTCCTTGAAAATAATGAAATAAATGTTTAGTGTCATTCCAATGTCTTCATGTTGGTGCAAAATTATATCTTGCTAACAATTCACAGAAAACACAATATCAAATTGTGTATTGTTAACTAAATACATTAATTCACTTATGGCACTCAAATATGGTATTTCAGAATCAAGGATTTCTCTGTTATCTTTGTGAGATTGAAAAGTATGTTTCTTTACATCAAAGGGATCGAACAACCATTAAAAGACAAAGGATGAGATTTTTCTATATCAAATCTCTTCAATATCTTTTCAACATAATTTAGTTGATGGATAAAAATTCCATTTGATGGATAAAAATTCCATTTGGTAGATGCTTAATCTGTAAGCTAAGACAGAATTTTATTACTCCGATATCTTTCATCTTGAATTCTTTCTTTAAACATTCAACTACCTTTTCAAGCTCTATAGGTGTTCTAATGATATTTATATCATCAACATATATTGTAATGATAGCAAAACTATGTTTTGACCTCTTTGTAAAGAGACACTAGTTAATAGAATTATTTTCATATCCTTGTTTTAGGAGATATTTACTTAGGTAATTGCACCACATTCATCTTAATTGTTTCAACCTAAATAAAGAAGATTTTAATTTTATTAAAAATATATCTCTTGATATTGAGTTGTATACTTCAAGGATTTTAAGTCTAATAAAGACTCTTATATAAATGTCACTGTTAAGTGATTTATATAAGTAAGCAATTACAATATCCATGAGGCACATTTGAAGGCCTTCATAAACTGCTAACTTATTAAAAACTTGAATGTAATTACAATCAATCACAAGAGAATATGTTTCCTCATAATCAATGCCAGGTATTTGTGTAAAGTCTTGAGCTATAAGTTTGGCTTTGTATTTCACAACCTCATTTTTCTCATTTTGTTTTCTCATGAACACTCATTTACAACCAACAAGTTTTACATTATTGGGTATTTGGACAATTAGTCTAAAAACTTGACGTTTTTCTAATAATTTCAATTCTGTCTGAATTCCATCTTTCCATTTTGGCCAATCACTTATTTGTTAGCATTCTTCAATGGATTTCAATTCAAGATCCTCATTTTCATTGACTACATTATTGGCCATTGCAAATGCAAAAATATCATCAATAACAACATCATTCTAATTCCACTTTATCCCAATGAAAATATAATTTATTGAGATTTTATCATTATCTGTAATTTCTGCAACTTCATTGTTTTCAAATGCTTGAACCTTTTCTAAGATTATTTCTTTAAATGCATTTTCTGGTTGTTGTTTAAAGAACTCTTAAGTTTCAACAATTTCAGTGGAGCTAGCATTTTGCTTTCTCTTCTTGTATTTTTATATTTGGAATTAACAGGTTTCCATGCTTTTGGCTGATGGTAGATTTATTTGGTAATATCTTAGCACCTTTTTCAAAAGGAATATTAATTCAAGCAAAAGCATTGAAAGCTAGAATATGTGAACTAGTTCCTTTCATCAGTGAATGCATCAGGCAATTGATTTATAATCTTTTTTTGAACTTCTAGTTTATTTTGACATGTTCAAGGGTCTAGATGAGATATAGATAATGCATCCCAAGTTAATTCATGTGTTTTCAACTTTTGTTCCTCTCCTCTAATGCTGGAAACAACTTTTCATCAAAATAACAATTAGCGAATCTTATTGTGAAAAAATCACTAGTCATTGGTTTAAGAAATTTAATTATAAATAGTAATCCAAAACCAACATAAATTCTCAATCTTCTTTGGGGACCCATTTTAGTGCGCTATGTAGGAGCAATAGGAACATATATAGCTCAACCAAAAATTTTTAAATGGGATATATTTGGTTTAATCCTAGAAACAAGTTATAATGGTGAATGCTTATGATAAATAGTTAGTCTTAATTAAATTAATGTTGCAACATGCAATATAGTATGACTCCGAGTTAAAGAGGGTAAATTTGATCTTATAATAGTAGTTTTGCAATCAATTGCATATACTTACTTTTATTATTTGTGCGAAAAGCCTTACAAACATAACATTGTGTGTAAATAATAGGCAAATATGTGACTACCTTGTTGAAGCATTTATCAATACCATAAAATATCAAAATGGTTTAGTTGACAGATTTATAAGCCAATAAATATCTCCTTGCATCCTTTCCAAAAATGAAGGGGATTCTTAATCTATTTTAGTTGCAAAAGACTTGGCAATTAATTTACCAAAGGAGCAAACATCACACAAGAAATCACTTGATAATAGAAATTTCAAGTTTTTTAATGGGTATCCATGTGAAGTTTTTATAATTCTCCATCCACATCATAATAGCTCCCAAATGAACAAGTGATTATGCCAAAGGATAAAGGCGTCTGGATTAACTAATTTCTAACTAGTCACAACATTGGATTCCATTGGATATATATAATATAATCCAAAAGAAAAGGTTAACATTTGTTCTAATATTTTCTTTTTTCCAAACGCAAAAATTGTGACATGGAGGAATTTCATTCTATAACAAACCATTACAATGTATATCCTTAAAACTTAATAAATTTTGATTTGATCTATTATAATATAAAGTATTGTATATTAATAATTTTGTTTCTCTAAGTAATGAAATGCAAGTTTTTCCAAAGCCTTCAATCAACTTTGCTATACTAGATATTATATAAACATTAGCCTCAACTACCTTTAATTGAGAAAAATAATTCTTATTTTTCAAGATGGTATGTGTTGTACCATTGTTAACAAGCATAAGTCTCTATCATTGATCTTAGCATCATCCAAGTTTTTGGTCTTAAATAAAGATAAATGAAACAGAAGAGACAAATATTCAATATATATATTGAAATAATTTATTTTTTTACTAAATATACAAAAGACATGTAGAAAAGGAGAAATAGCCATTTAAGGCAAATTATTTAAGAGGAAACAATAAGGCAAACTCATGGTTGGGTATTACCAACATCATTAAACTTTTTAATACCTTCAAAAAAATCTATAACATCAAGGTGTGTATTAAGATCTATGTGGTTATGTTCA